AAGCCAATGTATAGTTTTTGCGTACTCATATCTTATCAATAAAGATGTTTGTAATAGTTTTTCGTCCACGTTATCTTCAGTAACAGTATTCATAGAATCACTTATGAGTAAATTATTAATATTTAATACTTCAAGAGTATTAGTTTTGTACCAAGTGTATTTGTCCGAGAACGACCATTTTTCTACCTTAAGAAGTGAATTCAATATATTAACAACGTTTGTCTGATTACATGATGTCAATAGAACACTACCCAACAAAATAAGCGAAAATGTTACAATAGTAAACGATTTCATAATATTTGTAATAACAATTAAAAAAGTTTAAAAGTAAATTTTTTATTTTTCTAAAAGAACTATTAAAAGTGACAATCTTTTTTACTATTTATAAGAATTTAAAATCTACAATTATATATCATTTGACGTCATTTAATTGACGTCAATTGTAATATAAATAAAGTGTTTTCTTTAATATATTATCTGTAGTATAATAATAAGTTTGTATGATTTATTTTTTTGTTTATGAAAATTTTTATCGATTTAAATTACATTAATACCAATGCCTATTTGCTACATTTATATAGTAAAATACAGTATGATTATTTGTTATGTATAAACAATTTACAAATTATTAAATATATTAACTGTGATAAAAAATAGATATATCTGTTCTACAAACAAATAGAGAAAAAGAATAATAAAACATTTGGTATTTTACTAAAAATATTTTTTTTGAGTGAATAATTTTTAAAAAACCCAGCACAGTGGGGTCGCGGCACAGTGGTGACGTTGCATAGTTGGATCAAGTATAATGATATCTGACAGTGATTAAAATATCTATAAAAAAAAAAACGCTTCGATGCAAATCTTTAGATAGTGTTTAATTTTAAAAAATTGGTGGATTATTCCAAAAGCTACATGATCTGCTAGTTCATTATTAATATCCTAATTAAGATAAAGTATGTCGAATGCAAAAGGGATTATTAGAAAATATTATTTCTCATAAAAAAATAATGTTGATCCATACACTTTTAAATATGTCATAGCATTATTATTATACTATTCATTTATTTAGTTAAGCTGCACGGAAATCTTTTTTGTGTCACGTATTATGAAGTCTAGGCGGTGCACATTTATCATTATATAATTTGCATTAGATATTCCTGTTTTTTTTAATTTAATAAATAAAATTGAAAATTATTAAAATTGTATAAACATTGTTTGAACTTATTTATTTAAAGCGTTTAGGTAATGATAAAGCAAAAGCGCTTTCAATTTTAAAATAGTCCCGTAATAGTGTTAGCACGCTGTTTATTCCAATAACCTATACATCTACAAAATGATTCTTTTATTAACACTAGCCGCTTAATTATTCTTAAAATATTAAGTTTTTTGAAAAAAAAAAATTGTTTTCAATATGTTTGTTAGTTCCATATGATAATTAAATAATGTTCATGATTTTTGGATCCATCCCTTATATCTTATAGGGTGTAAACTTTATTTTTGTAAACAGCAACTACATATTAAACTAGCTTATACAATAGAAAGTGGTCTAATTAAAAAAAATGACTGATCGATAACCACTTTTGGACCTGCACCTCGGAAGTTATTCTCATTTTTATACCTAGATGGGACAAAGAGTACAGCCGGGAAACGTCTAGTAATAAAAATAACAGCACCCTATCCTACCTAAAGTCATTACATTAAATTGTTAATAACTTCTAAAGTACTGGTCAAAAAATTGTTATCGAGTCGTTTAAGTCGTTTTCTTAAATTCTAATTTTTACATATCTTAACGAATGCTTAATTTTGAAATTTTTCTAAATTTTAAAAATTAAAGGAAATTCTTTAAACAATTGGCGTTGAATAGTTTCACAGCATAAAAATCAACCCAGTGTATTTATATAGACAGACATACACACACACAAAAAAGAAATACATTTATGGTAATATCAATACCTTCTCAGCTTCGCAACGACACTAAAATGGATTCAATTAAAATGTGTAATTATTTAAAAATATCGAGAAAACTGTATGCGTTCATTTATTTTAAATATTGTAACTGTTTACATTTTTATTCATAAAAATTGGGAAAAAAACAATAATTGGGATATTTGCTTAGAAAAAATCGCAAAATTAGCAAAATAAAAATAGAGATGTTAATTCATAACTTAAACTTGTATTTATAACCCCAAAATATCCCCAAATATGTGCTTATTATAAANTGGGATATTTGCTTAGAAAAAATCGCAAAATTAGCAAAATAAAAATAGAGATGTTAATTCATAACTTAAACTTGTATTTATATGTGCTTATTATAGANAAATATCCCCAAATATGTGCTTATTATAAATTAGTAATGAGCATTCTAACTGTGATCGTATGATTTTTCATCGCTCTCCATCTTGAAAAATAATTTATAACCGTCATTGCTTTGATCGATCTCTATAGTAGAACATTATCGGTAGATTAAGACATTACGGAGACCCTTGTCGTTTAATGTATTAAAATATGTAAGAGGTTTTTTATTAAAACGTTACAAAATAATTTATCCTGCGGTGTTACACATGCATCAGTATAAAAAACTTCTCCTATTGGAATTAATTATAAATAAATTAATAATAACTCGTTTGATTGTAACAATATCATTGTTACACGCGATTGTGGCAGTGTTTTTATGTGTGGTGTGTACTTCATCGTCCCAATATCATATTTGAAATCTGAACGAGTTCTTACAGGAGAAAAATAACATCGGTAATGGTAGTGATTCCATCCAGATACTAATCTTTATACTGCAACGCTTGTATACCAATGCCAGATTATAATTTATAACACAGTAGTTGGTCCTATCTACACTTAAACACCATGGGCATTTCTCTCGTACACTACATGAACACACCTGCATTTTACATACTCACCGCAAACAAAATATATCGGCAAATCCAATAAAAAAAAACATAAATGGGTGTTATAAACGAGTGTTTTTTTTTTTACATTAAAGAATACTTGTACAAATTTGTAAAAAAAAATTATAATTAAAAAACTTGACCTAGTATTCAAACTGGTCTCTTATTTTATCTTATTCGGCTCTAAGTATTTTGTATTGAATTCGTAGCATGAAAAAACAACAAATTTTACAAGTGAAAGGCGCACCTGGATTATAAAACATACTCATTATTCTTTAATTAAACGGTTCAACATCGATGACGTTTTTATTATGATGTTTGGGATTTTTATGTTTATTGTTGATCAGTATAAGTAACTTTTGTATATGATATAAATATTAAGATTCACTTGATTCTAATATCAATCTTCTCTTGAAAATCTTAAATAAATATAATTTTATCATAACATAAAATTGTATTCTCATGTCATTTATTACATTTAGTATAAATGAATTGTTTGATCAAAAAAAGTAATTGAAAACTATTTGATGATCAACCGTCATCTATGAATATTTTCAAGAATACCTAAATTGTTAGCTTTACAACAATCCTAAAAGTTTTATATTAAAATTTTTAGTGATATCAAATCATGAGCTAATTATCTTATAATATAATACTGTATTGTAGCTTGAAACATTAAATAACAGTCAATCTAATCAAAATGAATAAAATTGTTTCATAATTTCTTAATATTTTTGTACTTCATAGTTCTTAAAAAACAAAAATATTAATAATTATAAAAATATAAAAATAAGAATTTTTTTTAGCTTCGATGCGAAGCGGAGAAGGTATTAATTTTACTATGATGTGTTTTTTTTTTTTTTTTTTTTTTTTTTTTTTTTTTTTTTTTNTACCATATTGAAAAATATACTATTTTTGTATGATAATTATGGGTTTTGTATTTTATTTTAATAGAAGTTGATGTTGCTTTTGCAATTATCCATTAATTATTAAAATGAAACACTATCTACAGATTTGCATCGAAGCGTTTCTTATGATAGTGATTTTAATCACTGTCAGATTAAATCTATACTGGACTCTACTATGCAATGTCTCCACTATGCCGCGACCCCACTGTGCTACCGTTTTTTTTCAATCAATTTGAAAAAAATATTTTTAGTAAAATACCAAATGTTTTTTTATTTTTTAAAATTTTTTTGTAGAACAGATATATCTATTTTTTATAACAGTTAATATATTTAAAAATTTGTAAATTGCTTATACATAACAAATAATCATACTGTATTATACTATATAAATTTAGCAATTAGGCATTGGTATTAATGTAATTTAAATCAATAAAATAAAATTAAGTGTCAAAATTTTCATAAACATAAAAATAAATCATACAAATTTATTATTATACTACAGCAAATAAATTAAAGGAAACACTTTATTTATATTACAATTTAAATTACGTCAAATGACATGTAATTGAAGTTTTTTAATTCTTATAAATAGTAAAAAAGATTGTCACTTTTAATAGTTCTTTTAGAAAAATAAAAAATTTACTTTTAAATTTTGTTAATTGCTNTAATAGTTCTTTTAGAAAAATAAAAAATTTACTTTTAAATTTTGTTAATTGCTATTACAAATATTATGAAATCGTTTACTATTGTAACATTTTCGCTTATTTTGTTGGGTGGTTTTTTATTGACATCATGTAATCAGACAAACGTTGTTGATATATTGAATTCACTTCTTAAGGTAGAAAAATGGTCGTTCTCGGACAAATACACTTGGTACAAAACTAATACTCTTAAAGTCTTAAATATTAATAATTTACTCATAAGTGATTCTATGAATACTGTTACTGAAAATAATGTGGACGAAAAACTATTACAAACATCTTTATTGATAAGTTATGAGTACGCAAACACTTTACAATGGCTTACTGAAATGTTAATTTTTATGAATAATGATTGTATTATTAAATATGATGAAGAAAGTATCGAGATTCAAAAAGAATTTATGAGAAAATTTAAATCAACTCTTAATATAGCAAAAAATGTAACAACATGTTTTTTAAGTGCATTAAAATTCATAGACAATTTAAAAGTAAGCGTTGAAAAACAAATTTTGTACGATTTAATTACTACATTGAATAACTTTAACGAAATTGAAATCAATACAGAATTAAATGATGATAGGTTCTATATTTTATACGTAAATATTGACAATATGTTAAAAAGTATAATCTTCGACACAAATTGCTATATAACCATGTATGTTGATGGTGATGATAATGATCCACTTGATAGGGAATCAACGAAAAAAAATTTAGATGAAATTTATGGTTGTCAATTGAAAAAAAAAAATAACACACCTTTTGATNCGTAAAAAATGAAATTTCTAAAAAATTTTTAAAAAAAAATACCACACCTTTTGATTTTCTTCTTAAATATATTACCGATAGTATCGATGATATAATTAAAATCAATTACACTGATCTTGGATTCGAATATGACAAGATGACAAAAACAAGTTTCTATAACCTGTAAAAAAAAAACTAGTGTAAAATACTTCAATTTAGTTTTAAGTGATATTCTGATTGTTTAGTTAAGTTTCAAATTTAAATAAGAAAAACATACTAAATTTTCATTGTATAATTTATGTAATCAAAGAATTATATTAATTTATTTTACTTTAAAATTATTTATTGCTTGATCTATGTAATACCCATCTTAAATAAATGCATATTAATAAATGAACTATTGTTAATTTTGAATGAGTACCATTCTCATAACTTGTCAAAATTTCAGGTTGAATTACCTTTTTAATTTTTCAATACATGAGCAGAAAAACTGTATAGANCATACATATAAATTAACTATATTTAATTTTGAATGAGTACCATTCTCATAACTTGTCAAAATTTCAGGTTGAATTACCTTTATAATTTTTCAATACATGAGCAGAAAAACTATATACAGGTGATTCATTTAAATTTCTTTACGCTATCCGCTCAATTTCTCTTAAAATATCTTTTTGTTCGATTTATGTTAGTTCCATATACTAAGCATAAATTTTGACTGCATCATGTTATGTAATTTATTAATAAAAAATATCTTTAAAAAATCTTTATTAAGATCATAATTATCAATCATTATGAAATAATACGAAATAAAAAACACAATTTTCGGTTATACAGGGTGTTGAGTAAGTCAGGTAACGGGTTTCTATTGTTCTCATTGTTACAAACAATGAGAACAATAGAAACCCGTTTCCTGACTTACTCAACACTCTGTATATAAACGCCCTTATTTACTATACTGATCAATGTAGCCACTAATGAACAATAGTACTCAATTTTGTTATTGGATTTTCATTAATAGCATAGCAAAAGAAAATGTATTATCTTACGTATGTTGTGTTACAATTTCATACAAATTCGATTTTTTAATAAAAATTCTATATAATTTTTAAATACAGAAAAAATTCTAAATTTTACAATTTTTAATGAATGCTTAATTTTGAAATTTGTCTAAATTTTAAAAATTAAAGGAAATTCTTTAAACAATTGGCGTTGAATAGTTTCACAACATAAAAATCAATCCTGTGTCTTTATATAGACAGACATACACACACACAAAAAAGAAATACATTTATTGTAATATCAATACTTTCTCAGCTGCGCAACAAAACTAAAATGGATTCAATTAAAATGTGTAATTATTTAAAAATATCGAGAAAACTGTATGGGTGTATTTATTTTAAATATTATTTGTGTGTGTGTATTTTATAATACACACACACACACACTTGATTCTATAAACAATCTTCTCTTGAAAATCTTAAATAGCACTTATACAGAATGTCCCACCAGATTTTGACATGTTTAATAACTTTTGATCCTGTGAATATTTTAAGTTACCTTTTTTACAAATAATATTTACAGTTTGTGACCTATGTTAAATATACATTTTTATTTATTTATTTGAAATAAGGAATAAAGTTTTATTTTTTATAAATTTTAATATATCCGTTTTTTAACTTTTCTTACAAAAAATTTAGATGTGCGATAGCAAATTTTAGATTAATACTTACTGAGTTACAAGCATTTTAATACATTGAGTGGGCCCGTAGGTACAACTCATACTGTTCTATGTGCACGTCTCTTTCCACTTTACATACCCAATCTAAATATTTAAATACTTGTAACTCACTAAGTACTAATACTAGTTGTTATCAACCAACATTTTTTTTATATAAGAATAGAGTGAAAAATAATAATTATATTGAAATATAAAAAGATTAAAAAATAAATATAAAAATAAAACATTTTTTTTTTATAAAAGAAAATTTGTTTTTATGATACGTCACAAATTGTAAAAATTGTTAAAAATAAATGTAACGCTAAATACTTACTAACCTGTATATCAAAAAGTTATAAATTGGGATTTAAGCGTTTAATGGTTTAAAAAAGCTGAGGAGGAGTGAGGTAGAGTTTAGTGACGTTATATTTTTACCATGACACAGATAAAAATTTTTCAATGTTCCGCTCCCCCCTCGACTATAGCTAAAAATTACATTAACTGAAATGATTACAATATAAACTGGTTATCAACCAGTCAATATTTTATTTAGACCATTCCATTCCTTATTTAATAGTAAAAAAATATTAATAGGATCCCTCTAATATCTGTTCTTAGAAATAATTTTTTTTTTACATTAAACTTGATATTTACAATGATTTATAAAAATAAATCAAATTTCAATTTGTAAATTTTTATAAAAGAATCATTAATTAATGAAAAAATGGGGATATCGTTTTTAAAAAATCACATTGTATGTTGAAAATAAAATAAATTATGTATATTAAACTAAAATTAAAATTTTTTTTTAATTTCATCTTTCGTTTTGCTATAAAAGTTTCTATTAATTTTACATCTCTTTCGAAAATTATTAAAATTTTTAATGGTTCAGTTATTAATTTCCCTTCTTGATAAGCACTACAGTTAACTCATTAAGAAGGATGGATATGTAAAAGATTTTGAATTTTAAATCACTTGACAACATTTACATATTAAATTAGAATAAAGCTTGCTAGCCCAAATNAACATTTACATATTAAATTAGAATAAAGCTTGCTAGCCCAAATTACTTATTTTAACATTAAGGCGTCTGGGCACCGAACTTTTTCAACAGTCGAAAATAGGCAATTTGCCGTTTTTATAAATTGTCATACAATTGTATATAAATACAGTGTCGTTATGTGAGAAGTATTTGGTTTTTAGAGCGAGTGTCTATTATTGGGAGTATTTTTACTGTGTTACAGTCTATAAAAAACCGGTTTTGTGTACCCACCTTACTTTTTGATACAATACAAATATATTGATTTAATAACGACCCTCATTTATGTATTATTTATTTTTAATGTAATATAAAATCCATAGCTTAGCACCAGGTCCACTGTAAATGTCTATAGACGTGTGTCATGATTTCACAAATTTTAATTGATTATAAAAATAATTAAATTATTTATGACTAGTATGAACAATTAAATATTTAAAATCAACATGTTAAAGCATATGACATCGATTATTTCGAAGTTACATAACTATAAAAAACGTGTTGCTCCACGCTACTCTAAGGACAATAAAATAGCGGATGCGGATAACGCACACGAGTACGTCAAATAAAACAGATACTGTTTGAAAAACATTAGTTTGGACATACAAAACTGCCAGTTTTCATTCCATCAGTGCGACGAAACTACTGGCACAATAAAAGTTCTTAAAACAAATCTGAAATTAGCATTATGTAACAATAGTATCGATCAGATCACTTTTTTGAAATTACGATTTCTTCAACACAAAAATCTATTTTGAAAAAATGAAAATACTTAAAGGTCAAAAGAATCATAGTTAAAAAAAAGTATTCTGACATGATGCTGAATTCAGATTTGTTTTGAGAATTTTTATCACATTGTAGTTTCGTAGAACTGCTGAAACAAAAACGGGTTGTCTTTTATTAAAAAACGGTCGGTACCCAGACACTTTAATGATATATTAAGTATATGATTTACGTAGTTGACGCCATATCTGTTCCTTTAAATTACATCAATTTTTAAGAGAGTTAAAAATATATGAAAAAAGAAATAAAAATGTGTTTGAAGTAGCCGTTGATAAATTTGTTAACCATTTGTATTATTTAACTGATGAATATGTTACGTTTGCTTTATTGAGGAGAATATCGATTTAAACACTTAATAAATATACAACCTAACATACATCAACAATAATAAATACTAAAAATTGATCTATTTAAAGATAAAAAATATATATTACATTAAATTAACAAAACTATGTAGACAAATTTTATAATTAAAAGTATTCGCTATCATACCAATTTGCTATCATTTGAAAAGCTAACATAATTATTAGAGATATTCCTGGTAGTAAATGCATGTACTAACCGAGTACCGAGTAAAAACCGAGTAACAAAAGGCTTGCAAACCGAATAGAATATTCTTACAAATCGAGTACCGGGAAAAGCCGAGTAGCTAAATTTAGCATTGATGAATAAATTGGCCAAAATATTAATTTTCTAATATTCCCTTCTCATTTACGGTAAAACCATATTCCGAATTCGCTACCTTAAAAATTTAGAAAAGTCATGTGTATTTTGTAAAAAAATTATCTGAAGTTGGGAGAAAATGAAATTTGGCCTCCTCAACATTTTTTTCACCCTAGAAATGATTGAAAATATTCCATTACAAAATATTTTAATGATCATTTCGAAAAAAGGTTTTAATAAAATCCTTCAAGTATTGGTTGAAATAATAGCTACATAGTAATTAAAATATAATTATTGAATATTATTAAAATTTATGAAAAAAAAAACATTTCTATTACTACATAAATATAAATCATTACATATAAAATATATCAATACTCCTCAGCGAGTACAAATTAACAAAACAATTAATCAATTGGGCGCTACTTGCGTTGAGTGATAACAGAAAAATAAATTACGCTTGTGTATTACATATTTTTTTACAGAGTGTTATCCAACCGGTTATTTAAATATAAAAATAATTTTTTGATACCTGGAAGGTAAGAGCCCCGACACTAGACGGTAGCGCCGTACGGTTATATCACCACGTGTCACACTGAACGGTTTGAAAACTGTTTTGTCGCGTTTTTTGTTGATAATTCAATAATTTATATTTTATTCATTCAGTTGTCTTCTACTACGCTGTACAGAACTTCTCATTTTATTTAATTATTATTTTACGATTTTTAACCAAGTATGTATTAATGTTTTTAATATATTCAATAGTATTAAATAGAGTTTTCAATTTATATTTTGCTACATTAAAAGTTAAAATTACAAGTGAAATTTGTTCTTTAATTGTTCAAATAAACTTATAAAATTAGGTTAGTTTATATATTTAATAAATAACTTCTCTTATTAGAGTAATTCTTCACATAAATATAGTTTTTGTCATCTAGGACTATAAAACTTGACCGCCTCTTATACCTAAAGATGAACT